AGTAAAGTGGCACGTAAGCACACACGAAGTGATGCTGGCCGTAATTGCGACACACTGAATGTCATCACGAATTTGTTGGTGAAACACAAAGTCATTAAGGTCGAGCCTTACTTAATGAGCGTGTAGTATCACGTAAGTACCCACTGGGTGGTGATATCACTGGAATTGACTCATCAGCAGATGTCGGTGATGATATCAATTCTGATATTGAGCAAATTAAGGTTGACGTAGCTCGACACCTTAAAAGCGGTATAGTTCCGGATGTTGGTAATGACATCGGCTGTGGAAATGAGGAACTCCAGGTTTATGGGCATGTTATTCTTGGGGACATCGATATCCCGGGTGTCGGTAATGTCACCGGCTCTCGTACGAAGCAATTCAAGGTTGATGATGATATCAACCTTGGGAAAGAGAAGTCCAACCCTCGTTGAGATGTTTAGTCTCGTCGTAGATATGAATGCGGCGCCAGATTGCTGTTATGCAACGCATGGCGTATGCTACGCTACTGAGTGATACTAGCGAGCAACTATATACACTCGTTAATGGAGTTTCCAGTGACGCAGATGGGTCAGTAAGTCTTGGGACTCTACCCTCACTAAATTCTCTGTTAAAGCTAGACGAAATGTCTGTCAATGAGTTTGGCCTGACCATAAAACCAGGTGAACAATCTGAAGTGGTGGTATTTAGATCCGACATTGAGTTGAAAGCGTCGTCACTTCTTACTGAATATGTCTTGGAAGACACAAAGGCGGCACTGAGTGCTTGAACTGGGTCATCGATACTGAAGATCCTAGAGACCCATTTTATTGTTTGGTTATTAGTTTCAGGATGTGTGATGTCACAATCCATCTTCCACTCTGCCTCCTGACCGAGGCGTAGTTGATGAAATAGACCTAGTTTCTGGAGCCAATTACTGTGTGACACGGCAATTACCCCTAATAAAGGATCAGCGTGACATCATTTAGGATTTCTCTCGTTAGAAGCACGCGGCTAGCATTGTGTGTGAGAGCAAGTATCCGTACTTGACACCGACGTTTTGTTTCAGAAAGATAAATGACTAGTGGTGCATTGTGCATGCTTACGATAAGCTATATTTAGCAACTTTACCGGCACAGAAGCCTATTTATGGAAATCGTATTCTTTAAAACGCTATGGTATGTTGTGCCATGTTTAGTGCACTCATTTTTGTCGATGGGTATTACCAGCTGCTCATGCGAGCGAGTGATATTGGCTCACAGCAGTTAAAGCTCCAACAGGTATGCTTTGGGAGTGTTCTTCTCATGCCTCAAGGGCTGTCTAGTGCCCCGGCTACCTTTAATTGGCTTGTGACGCAATTAATTACGACCTCACCAAGAATACGCACAAAGCTATTTCGATGAAATTTTTGTATAGCCGTGCATAACATTAAAGGATAGATTCGGACAACCACATAAAACATTTACGATCAGTGCTCGAGTGATTGTGCACGAAAAAGCTTTATGCAAATGCATACAGATAATTATTTGGTGCGAAAAAAATTAATTCAGGGTGCTTCATTGAAAAAGCGTGGCCTTCCAGCGGATCTCGCTAAAGTATATTTAGCTGTTTACTGGCCGGTTCTTTCAAACAAAAGGACTTGCGTAAATGGCCGGCCTTGCTTATTACTCGCACAAGTACAGTGCAAAATTCTCTGACGTGACAAGGCCAGTAACCAACATTTTTAACAAGGATGCATTTTGGTATCAATACGCAGTCCATGCTCCATATTTTACAGATATAAATGACAGTCTCCTTTATGATCCAATGTTGTCTTTTCCTGACCTTAGACGGCCTTTAAGTGTCGTCTGTGACGCGTCTCATTTTGTCATTATTTGCGCACTATTGCAGACAGATGTCGATTGACATGAGCGCGTCATATTGTATAAATCTCGTCATCTTAAAGTTACAGAGAAGAACTATCCAGATCATGACAAGGAGTTACTTGCAATGAGAAACTCTCTTATTTCGTTCAGATTCTATTTACTTGGCTCAAAGCCTTTTGTGATCTTCACATATAATGCGTTGTTGCGCACTGCGAAACAGTCGCCTCATCCCTCACAGGGTATGCCTCGTTGGTTTTTATTCTTTGCTACATACAACTTCGAGCTAAAGTAAGAGCCGTGCAAGCAAAAGATTTGGCTGAGGTCTTGTCATGCTGACCTGATTATGAGCTTGCTCATGTTACAACTTTTTCGTCATCCATTGTGGATTTAATGTGTGCGGCATATGCAAATGACAAGCGTTGTGTAGCATCGCTGCATGCTCTTAAAAGCGACCTGTTTGCAGACTCAAACATCAGATTGTCGTCATGTCCACGTGCGAGCCTACATTGATATGTCATCGAGGGTGGGTTGTTGCAATACACCGTGTTTAGGATGCGCGTCGCATTGTTGTTCCTCATGATAAGCAATTGAAGTATCATATCATTTTTAGGCACAAGACAATGCTTTGAGCGGTCTTCTCAGTCCTGAGAAGACCTACAGCTCAATTAGCCAGACGAGTTGGTGGCCGAAGCTGTACAAATGTGTGAGCGCATATGTACGTACATGTGTAACGTGTCAACGTGTCAAAACCTCAGCACATGCGGTTGCACCGCTTGCTAGATTGCCTGTATACACTGGGTGCTAAGAGTCCATCAGTATAGACTTTGTGTTTGGCCTATTGAAAATTTCAGATGGCAGCACTGGTATTGATGTCTGTGTTGACTGTTTAAGCAAGATGGCTCACCTAGAGGCTGTGCCTGATTCCATCGATGGCGAAGGTGCAGCGAAGCTGTTTATCGACCGTGTGTTCCGTCAACACGATTTACCTGTGACAATTGTCTCGGATCGTGATCCACATTACTCTGGCAAGTTCTGGACTTTTATCTTCAAGTTGCTATGCAGCAGGCTGGACATGTCCACAGCGGATCATCCGCAGACCAATGGAAACGTTGAACATGTCTTCCGTGTTATTGTTGGAATTTTGTGCAGTTCTTGTGCTGATACTTTGGAGCTCTCTGCTCCCTGTGGTCGGGGTTTCGTTATGCAAAGTTGTTTAGATCTCGACTGGCTTTGCTCTTTGTTAATTTTTAAAAATTATCGAGCATCGATATTCTGCATAGATAAGATTTGAGCAATTCGGTACTGCAATGTTTACCTCTCTATTTGTTCAAGCATGCTAAATGCTTTTACGATAAGTCCTAAGAATTTCCATAATGCAGAAATTGTCCTTTGTTTTATATCGTTTTAAGCCCTTGTTGGTTTAAGCTCGCTTTGCTCATATCGTACTATAGCAAGTTAGATAAATGACCCTCACGACAATATCGCATCGTCTTAATCGGAAGTGACCGACTGCTTTTTTTCCTTGTTGGGTACTCGCGACGAAAGCTTCGTGGTTTTTACTCGGCATGTCGATTACTTGAAAGCCAGATGTGATCGATTTATAGTATGAAGTCACATGCAACTGCTTGGAGATCATTATGGCTATGTCATTAGTATGCTTTCGACTTTGACTGATCTACCTGAGCGTACACATCGCTTGAACTCACCCGATGATAAAGCTGGCAATAACGATGAAGTTTCGGTCTCGATAAGTAACACTGCCGACTTTATGCATACGTAGAACAGTACACCGGGCAGCTGCAAGGACTTTCACCCTGACAGCGCACTGAAAACGTCCGGTAATGATACCGAGAAGCTACGACAGCCTTGATCACTGCCTTAGAACCACTTGTCATGTGTGCTTATGGCGTAGTCAGAGTGCAGACTTGAACGAGAAGATCATTTGTGCATTGAGGGACAATGAAGAAACCTCGTAAAAACCTATTGGGCTGGCGATTCGATGCTATTAAGATAGGGTATCAAGGCTGGCAACACAAGTTTACTGGTAAATTTTACAGCAGAAAACGAGCAACACTACTGATGAACTGCGATTGCTAACGAGTGAAGTGAGGGATTAAAAATAGGGGCATTAGCATGCGATCGTGGATATCATACTAATGACCAAACGGCTAGAACATTCATCACGTCCATAGCTTGTATTTGATGCAAAGCTCGAAAGACGGAAAATACTTTCGAGACAGCGGGTTCGCGTCACACCGATTTTCGTTTTATTTGAAGATCGAGGATGTCGAACCCTCCACGTGTAACGGGGTAGCCCGTTACATGAATTTGACACCAAACGGTGTCAATAGGAATTTTGTCTAGCACGACAATATTCTACCAATGTTATCCGAGATAGATGGTATTGAAGGAGTATTGTCCCCTTTAGATAAAATTCATACGCTGCTCCAAGATTGGTTGACAAAAGACATATCAACCATAGATAAGCACCAATCGCGCTAGACGCGTGCAATGAGTCGTGAGCAGGTTGTCGTCATACGACGACGTAGTTTAACATAGTTGGACAAAGATTAAAGTTATAGTGATAGCTTGTCTATATTAAGCGAGTTCTCTTTTTACTTTTTACTCAGACGAGCTGTTTGAGTAGATTAGCTTTCTCTGCACGTACGAGTGTGCGTGAGATTATGTGGCACCCAAACAAAGGGTGCCCCGTTACACCTGGTAGCAGTTCGTAGTCCGTCCAACGACTACTTAGTGTCCGTCAAACATAAACATGTTGGACATTGAAGACGACCGCTTTCACGTCACACGTGCGGGCTACTCCCATATGAGTGACTTAGAATGGGAGGTAGTCGGCCGCATGAGTGTGCTCGTGGGCGAACCCGCCATCAGTGGCATGTTGAAGTCTCTAGTTAGGCACCAGCAACATGCTGCTATCAACAAGTTCCTACAAGGGGAACTTGCCGTCGAAAGACAGAAGATAGCCTTGTCACAACAGCAAGGCTCTCATCAGTCGATGGGTGGGCCGACGCACAAGCGTCGACCCGGAATCTTAAAGATAGATATCTCAAGGCACAAGGGAACAGATGAAGATTCCCTTTGAGATGGTTCGTCGAGTTTGACCATGCCATAAGGGCCCGTCACATCGAGGGTGACGAGATGCAAGTCACTTTCGCCCTGTCAAATTTGACAGGACGAGCAAAGATTTGGGCCTTAGGGCTTAAGCTCTACGACCCAAACGTGTTTGAGTCGTTGGAAATCTTGAAGTCTCGGCTTAAAGAGACGTTTGATCCATTGAGAGCCGAGTTCAGAGCGCTCTCTGCACTCTTGAGGCTCAAGGAAGGTAAGCGTGACGTGCATGCTTACGCACAGCACTTGTGCTACCTCGAGAGTAGCGTTACGGAAAACCTCGTTGATGAGCACACGCTCATAAACGTGTTCATCTACGGCCATGTAGATGGACCCGTGAAGACTTACATGTTTCGAGAGGCCTTCCTTACGCAGGAAAAGTCGATAGCGTATGCGGAACAAGAATACTTCAGCCTGAGACAGTTTCAGGCTAACTCGTCAAACTATCGTCCGACGAGACGACATGAAACAAGAGGTCCCGAACCGAAGGACCTCTGTTATATCGAGAGCGAGAACAATCGCTCTCTGAGTCGCAAGAAACGGCAAGATACCATCGCTGTCAGAAGATTGGACACTACGCTCATGAGTGTAGTGTCCCGAGCACCACAACACGTCCAGAGACAGGAAGTGATGAAAACCGTTGGCCAAGGAAATGTCCGAGGCGTGGGTCCAATATGTCGCTAATTGACAGCAAGTCGGGCCATCAAAAACGGACAGGGTCAGTAGGGGCGAAGCACCCTGCTGATCCAGCAACGTCAAGAGAATTTGCAGGACTCTTGAAAAAGTTTGCTTCCAACATACAGTCTCTGTGTGTTACTGCCCCTAGTGATGAGGAGTCGATCATCACTTTGGAGATCGAAGAGACAAATGGATTGTCACTTCGCGCCCTAGTTGATAGTGGGCGTCAAACATTTTATTCGACGTCAGTCGCTAAGGGATGGTAGTCTCGACTTTGTTGAGCGAGAGTTCCATCCAACGAGGATTACGGTGTCCCTTGCTTCAGGTGCGTCCGCACCAGTGACCAAATGTACAGTGGGAATCCACTACACGCTATAAGGAAAGCGGTTTAATGGTGACTTTATCGTACTAGATTTGAATGACAAATTTTGTGTCATCCTCGGTCTGCCATGGCTTTAAAAATGTCAGCCGTGGAACAGATGGCAGCATCGATCCGTGAAGATGCCTGCAGTTTGTTCATCGGATGACCATCTGATGAACTTCTTGGAGCGTCCACAAGCGTGTGTATGTACTACGAGTGAGTGCGATGGACCTTACTTGTGGTACGGTCGTTAAAACGATTGCACAAGATCATAGTGTAGAAGGTCACTACACTGTGAAACCAGCTTCCGGCACCTGTGTAGAGCCACAGGCTACGCCGAAGGTTCATTAATCGAAAAGATCGAGTGGATTGGAACACGGCTGCACACCAAGAAGGGTGCATCCGCGGAGAAAGATTAGTGTTGTTCAGGATGAACAACTTGTTGGAGCGAGATCGACTATTAGAGAGTCGATCGTAGAGCAAGCCCGATCGAGAAAAAGAGAGTCGATCGAAGAGGGCGTGACTGTGGTAGTGCACCCACAGTGAGAACACGTAATGGAAGAAAGCTCCAGCGATCCCGAGAGTAATAACTCCCGAGAGAGTTACGATGAGGGTGTGGATCTCGACCACCTGCGGGTGTGTTTTCCCAGGAAATCACCGAGACAGTGAATGTCTTGGTGAATGACGGATTTAAGTGTAGGCGCTTATACACTTGATCTGGTTACGCCCCCGAAGTCAGCTTCGAAGGTAATGAAGTTGCCAAAGCTGGAATCTAATAGATTCTTGCGAGATCTGCGTAGTGACAAGATCAAGCAGATCTGCGTACTCGTCAAAGAGGACGAGTACGTCACCACTATTCGGTCGGCACAAGTGTTCGCTGAGAACAAACGGGTTCTCAGTAGTTCATCGATGGACGATAGTGTCCTCGATGAGAAGACCCGGATAGATCGATACACGTCTCATTCTTGGGAGTCTTTAAAAACGAATCCTTTGTATAAGGATTTGGTGGAATTCAGGGATGTTTTACCGGAATCCGTGCCATGAAAGCTGCCTAAGGACAAAGGCACTTGGCATGAGATCGAATTGAAGCCCGGTTCGAAATACTGAGTCGTGAAGCAGTAGCCACTGCGTCGTGAACAGGTAAGGGTGGTCGGCCAAATTCTTTGCTGATAGCTTGGTGGCTGGTCATGTGATGGAATTAACATCCCCACAGAGATCTCCGACTTTCTTTGGGCGAAAGGCCACAAGAGGGTGGCGGATAGTGCACGCGTTCAGCAAACTAAACGCTGCAGCGGTAACGGCTTAAACTCCGATCCCGAGAAAGGACGTCATCATAGATGGTATGGCAAAAAGTACCATCTTTTCGTCTATGGATCTGATGGACAAATTCTATCAGATCCTCATGCGAGATCGATATACCCCGTAAACAGCAGTGAGCACCCCCAGTGGTATGCTCTGGAAGTGGCTAGTGATGCCACAGGGGCTAAGTAACGCCCCGCAAAGTTTGACATGATAGTTACTCATCTGTTGCGATCAGTGCGCGATTTCGCACCGTGCTACTTTGACGATGTCTTCGTCCATAGCCGGGCTATGGATGGATAGACGGACGTGAAGGTTCATAGAATCCACGTCCGGAAGGTTCTTACTCTAATGCGAGAGCATAAGTTGTTCGCGAACCATTACAGTTGTAAATTCGCAGCGAACGAAATGCCACTTTTGGCTGCATCGTGGGTAAAACGGCGTACGCCCTGGTCCGGAAAAGATATAGGCGATTAGCAACTGGCCGGTGTCAGTCGACGTCAAGGGACTTCGAAAGTGCCTTGGCTTGGTGGTGCACTTGCACAAATACTCGCGCAACTACGCCGATTTAACCGTACATCTCTCTCGTTTACCAAAGAAAAACGAGGTGTGGTTATGGAGTGCTGAGTGTCAGCAATCCCTTGAAGGCATCACGAAAAGCCAGGTACAATTGCCTGTGTTGGCGATTGCAGACCAGGACAGACAATTCCTTGTGGTCTGTGACGCCAGCGATTTTACAATCGGCTGTGAGTTAATGCAGTACGACTCAGACGGCGTTGAGCGCGTCGTCTGTTGTCAATCGCTTCAGATGCAAGCAGCTGAGCGGAATCACTTGGTGCAGGACAATTAACTCATTGCCATGAATTATACACTGGCTAAGTTTCGGGTATGTCTCTTAAGAGATAGGCCCTTCATCGTTTTTACCAACCATGCGTCGTTACGCACAGCCGTAAACAGCCCACACCTCTCGCAACGAATGACGAGGTGGCTGTATTTCTTCGCGGAGTACAACCTTTCCGACGAGTATAAACCAGGACGACTTAATGTCGTCGCTGACGCTTTTTCAGTTCGGTCCAATTTTAGGCCGACTGCTTAACACAACAGTAGGGGTGACCCCACTGTCGCGACACTAACAGCGAGTGTTCCGTTGTCGAATCTTCTCAAAAACGTGCGGAAATCAAACGCAGAGAATGAGTTTCTTCTGCGATTGTTAGATTACGTGTCTAAATCGTACAACTAAGCATTGAAAAGCTTTTCGTGTCAATACCTCACTTCAACCAAACGGTGTTCTGTTCGTGAGGAACTGCTGTATTATACAGAATACAACGGCGACAGATCTCGTGTCGTCGTTCCCGCTCATAAAGATTTCCGATTGCGCATCATGTAAGAGTGTCACGATGCCCCAACAAGTGGGCATCGCGATAGAGAAAAAATTCATCATGTTGAGTCGTGCCTTCTACTGGCCCCGCCAGTACGAGTTTGTGCGGAAATACACTCGCGCTTGCAAAGTTTGTCAATGGGTGAAGCCTAGTTCTTCATTCCGCGCATCCTTGCAGCCTCTATCGATCCCGGCGGAGGGGATGTTGGCTGTCCGTAATGATGGACTTCGTCTTCGGGGTTCCCAAAGACGTTTACAAGAATACTGGTATTCATGTGCTATTTTATCGATTTGGCAAGGTGGTACATCTCGTTGATGTACCGGAGTCAATCACAGCCCAGAGCTGTGCGCGTGTCTTCATCTACACTATCTTGCGACTTCACGGGTTACTCCGTGAACTCGCATCCAATAGAGACCTTCGCTTTACGGCGGAGTTCTGGCAATCCTTGTTCCGTCCACTTGGAACACGTTTGACGATGCCGACTTCTGATCATCCCGAAACAGATGGTCAGACAGAACGCGTCAACCACGTCCTCGAAGACTTACTTCGAAGATATGTCCACTCGTTCACGAGTTGGAGTGAGTTCTTGCCGATGGCGGAATACCATCAACAACTCGGTGCATGCGCCGACAACGCATACACCGTTCTTCGTGAATAGCCTAAGCCATGCACGTTCACCTGCATTATTAAAGAGTGACTCCAGTTGAAGGGTAGGTGGACTCTCTGGAACATAGACCGATATGAATCTTTCTCATCGCACGTCAACAATGGTGTCGACGTGATGAATGCTGATGCCGATTACATCAACACCGATGATGATGATGACGAGGACGTTGGTATATTCAGCATCGCCAATGCCGGCCATAGTGAGGACGACGACTCCCTCACTGTTGAAGACAACGTTCTTTCAGCAAATCACACGTAGCGCACTGCTGTTAACAAGGATGATTAGCAGAGGGATTTCTGCTGACTCACGAAGCGGTTGTCCACATTGTTTAAGACTCTATTGCAGAGGCACTAGACAGTCAGAAGAAAATGCAGGCAAACATGGAAGAGCAAATGTTCTTTTATTTATGATGGAGACCTAGATTAACTGTTTACAGTAAACTACCGATATACGCAGTGACAAACGTGGGCAGCAGTAAATTAATGCCCATGTACATCGGTTGATTTCGTGTGTTGCGCCGAATGGGCAACGCATACACGATTGAACTGCCCCGTAAGATGCGCACGCATTCTACGTTTAACATCGGTCGTCTTCACCCGTACTATTAATACGAGCTCGTTTCGAGATGCGAGGAACACTTCCGCGGTCGACAGCCAAGACCACCTTCGAGTGGTCCCGTTTCTACAAGCAAGTCTGGTCGACTAGCGAAGTGACCTATTCACGCAGCTCAGCGATGTCTCGACGAGCAGCAGCCAGATCATCACGAAGAGAAAGAGTCGAACGTTCGTTCCCAAGTTGCGCGAACGCAAAAGTGGCACGATCGTCCGAACGATCGTGCGTTAGAGAATGTAATTATCCCTTACAAGATCCTGTAGCTCATAACGGCGAGCCCTTTCGTAAGCCAGGTCATCTGGCAACTGTTCCGTCATGCGAGTAAGCTCTTGTACATCAAGCTGATCGGGCCCTCGAGCCGGATCAGGTGTTTTCGTCGCACCCATATCTTTTGATGGATTCTCGCGGTGGTCAACGCTTCCTAGTGGAGCTTACTTTGAACCACCGCGATGTAAATTGGCGTCCGGAGGAGTTACCTCGTCCACTGGCGCGGCTATCCACCGGCGTGGGACAGATGGGAGCCTCATGCTTAGCTGACTGTTGATGTCCTTGGTCTCGTCGAGCAGAACGACGAGACCCACCCGCTGCGTTGAGGAACGGCCGTTGGAAAATGACCTCCCCGAACGCGAGTGCAGGGATTGCAAAGTGTCGATCCCTTCGGCCATCTCGGAAGATATGCGCGCTGTACAGTATGGGACATTATAAAAGTAGGCCTCCTGAGGGGAACGGTTCGAGTTGTCCAGGCAACCTGGACACTAATCACCCCTCGAGAGAAAGGGTAATCCTGCCTCTCTTGACATCCGTTGCAACTTGTATCGCGCCCCGACAGGGTTGCGTTTCTCAAACCTGATGCGAGCTGCATCAAGTTGGCGAGCCAAGCCTCACGGCCAATACACTCGATGTTGTGCATGAGGGCATTCCATCCCTGCACAAAAACTTTGGCATCTCGCACACGGCTTCCATTTTACCACCGATGTTTGAAGAACACATCGGTGAAAAAGTATTCCTCAGCACGGAGAATTTCCGTGCTGGAATCAGGTGGGTAAATCTTCCTGCAATCGAACAACGGGCTTCGATCCCGTTCGGTAGTCGTGCCGGCCAACCGTTACAACTCTCTGGATGGCGGCATCCACGGAAACTCCACTTGAGGAGCGTGGCGCAGGATATTCCTGTCCCTTGCCTCTTGAGTGGTGTCAGCATGAGCACTGACACCAGTGTTACCCCGATCCCTTGAGTTTCTTTGCTCGTGGTGATGCGTAGGTGCATCACCACCATCTCCACGCGTCCTATCGTTGGATGGACTTGCGTGATGCGGAGATTCGTCGGAATAATCACTAGATCCGAAGTTCTCGGACATAATGCCGCCATGTTGACCAGAGTAAATTAACCTGGTTCTTGCAGTGAGCACCCCGGATGATCCGAAGGCGCGAGGTCTCGCCTTTGAGTCGGACACATCATCCGACTCGCCAGAATAGATGAGCTCTATCTCAGACTCATCTGGAACACGATCTGCGGTACCCGCTGCAAACGCAACGGATGTACCTGTCGCACTTGGTGACTCACCACGTGGAGGATCCACGACAACAGGCGAAAAATCTCTTGCTGCTTAGGTGTGAGAGGCACTTTCCGCGGCCGCACGCATGCGTACAGCTGCTCTTCTTGCTGCTGCATTTCAGCTCGCTTGGTTTTGGAAACTATGCGTTGGATTGGCAAATTAATGGGATTTACCAACAAGTGCGCCCTTTCCCAGAGTGATCCAACGGTGGTCACCCTGTCCCAATCAATACTAACTCACTTAGCGGGTGATCTATGATTAGGGGGGGGGTGGTGTAACGGGGTAGCCCGTTACATGAATTTGACACCAAACGGTGTCAATAGGAATTTTGTCGAGCACGACAATATTCTACCAATGTTATCCGAGATAGATGGTATTGAAGGAGTATTGTCCCCTTTAGATAAAATTCATGCGCTGCTCCAAGATTGGTTGACAAAAGACATATCAACCATAGATAAGCACCAATCGCGCTAGACGCGTGCAATGAGTCGTGAGCAGGTTGCCGTCATACGACGACGTAGTTCAATTTAGTGGGACAAAGATTAAAGTTATAGTGATAACTTAACTATATTAAATACAGTTCTCTTTTTACCTTTACTTAAACGAGTTGTTTAAGTAGACTAGCTTCCTCTGCACGTACGAGTGTACGTGAAGTTTCGCGGAACTCAAACAAAGGGTGCCCTGTTACACCGCGCGTATATAAGTCAAAAATTCTGTGCATTTAACATGTACGCTGTACACGTCATCGGCCCAACGCGATTTGCGATTGTACTATGGTTACGTGTTGTAACATTTGAGAGTTTTACGCTGATAGCAAGAGCTTGTGTGACTTGATGCAATAAAGTTGTGGTATTCTTTCGACACCCCATCCAAGCACTGTTATTGCATCTACAGAGTCCTGTGATATCATGTTGTATTTCCGACAGACTAGCTATTCAGCGCTGTCTTACGGGCAGAATGGCTATGTCTACTTGGGCCTGTTCCGCTGTCTTTATTGCCTCTTTCGCCTTGTTGATACCAGATAGCTTTATCATCTGCGAGCGTTTTCAGAACATCTGTAGCTAGCGGCATGTACCTCCCCGTTTGTATGCCATCAAATTGCACAGAAATTTCCCTAGAGCTGTACGGACAAAAACTGCGTGAGGAACGTTCGTACGACATACTTGCTTCTCAGTATTTTCGTCGCTTTTTCCATACCATACATCTATTTTTACCCGAAAGATAGAACAAGATGTACACCCAAAAGTGGCCTCCGTTGTTAGAATTAACTAGGTTGTGGAGCTGATGCTGAGAAGAAGATGGCTTACGGCCGGGGATGAAAACCGAAAAGTGAGTTGTATTCAAATTGTTCCTAGCTTCGAAAACGAATGGCTAGTAGTAGCCGGTGACTCTCAGCCACCTATTTCGTGCCCTGTCTCCACCGCTTTCTGTTTTACCTATCACTGGGTAATTACGTCTCGTAAATACCTTTCGTAAAAACTCTGCTGTGTCATATGCTGAATGAAAACGATTGCGTGGGTGGGGGACGTAACTGCGGGCGGGTCACAGTTCTGGTGAACCCCGAACACCAGGTCGTAGGTGTCAGCCACAATTAACTTTGACCACGGGGGGGTTTGAACCCGCACCAGTAGCGTGGAATCCTCCTTCCCAAACCACTGAGCCAATCCGATGACTTGTCGTTTCGCTAACATCCCACAATATAAACCTGCCAAAGAACAATACAACTAATGCAAATATGCAATATACACCCTGCACAAGTCGCCGCATCATCACTCGCTAACACTCTCCCTTGATGTGCGTGCGACGTGTGACCCCTACACCGCCATGCCAAGACCCTTGATAAACTTGTTATGCTTGTCTTTAGGAAGTGCCTTGGTGAATCCGTCCGCGACCATTTCTTCTGTTGGCTTGAACTCGAGTGTAATCACCGCACTTGCAACCTTTTCACGCAAAAAGTGAAACTTGATGTCGATGTGCTTCGTGCGCGAGTGATATACAGGATTCTTGGCCAGCGCGATGCATCCTTGATTGTCTTGAAAAATCGTCGTCGCCGCCTTGGTACCATACACCAGGTCCTTGAGCAGACTTTGAAGCCAAATAGCTTCCTGCGTCGCGTTGTACAGACTCATGTACTCTGCCTCGGTGCTTGAGGTCGCGACGGTTGGCTGGCGCTTTGAATTCCACGATATCGCGCTCCCGTTCAAAAAGAAAACGTATCTTGTTGTTGATCGCCGCGTATCGAGGTCGCCAGCCCAATTCGCATCCGCGTATCCAATAAGCTCTCCCTTGTTGAAACCGCTAAACACGATGCTCGTGTCTTGAGTTGTCTTCAAGTACTTAAGAATTCGCTTTGCTGCTGTCCAGTGAGACTTGTTGTAGCGCTCGCAATGTTTTGCAACTTCGCCAACCGCGTGCGCGATGTCCGGTCGCGTACATGTGGCGATGTACATTAATGCACCCACAAGCTCGCGATACGGGTACTTGGGGACAAAAGCTTCATCTTGACGCATCTTGATCAGCTTCGAATTACTGTCCGCTGGTGTGTGCACGTCCTTGCAGTTATCAACGCCAAACTTCTCCGAAAGTCGCTTGATGTATGCCGTTTGATTCATCTTGATAACGCGTTCTTCACGCTTGCGATGAATTTCGATCCCGAGGCAGTACTTGAGATCCCCAAGATCTTTAATGCTGAATTCTTCGTTCAGTGCATTCTTGATACTCGTGATGTGCTCCTTCGTCTTGCAGAATATCATCAAGTCGTCCACGTAGATCACGATGATGCTATACTCCTCTTCAGCCATTCGAACGAACACACACGGGTCAGCCGTACTGCTCTTGAATCCTTGATCTTCTAAATGGCGATTCAACTTGCTGTTCCACTGCCGCGCCGCTTGCTTGGTCCCATAGAGTGCCTTCTGCAATAAACACTTCTTTGTCGGGCTTTCTTCATCTTCAAAACCGTCAGGTTGGTCCATGTAGATCTCTTCTTCCACATCACCGTAGAGGAACGCTGTGTCAACATCGACGTTCTCTGCTTCCAAGTCTTCAGCAGCTGCAATCGCCAACACTGCGTTAATCGATTTCTTGCGTGCTACTGGTGCAAATATCTCGGTGTCAATTCCAGGTCGCTGAGTAAATCCCTTGGCAACCAAGCGTGCCTTGAACTTGATAATCGCTCCACTTGGATCGCGTTTAATCTTGAAGACCCACTTGCAGCCTACGGCCTTCTTGCCCGGTGGCATTTTTACTAGCTTCCATGTGCTGTGGTCTTTAAGAGACTTCATCTCGCTCTTCATTGCCTGGAGCCACTGCTCCTTGTAGCCGCTCTTCATCACTTCTTCATAACTGGACGCTTGTTCTTCATCTTCTTCAGCTAAAAAACAGTAGAAATAGTCATAATCACCTTCATAGTCGTCCAGGTTGAATTGGCCCCGACGATGGCTTGGAAACTCCTGTTCGTAACGAACAACGCCGCGCTTCTTTCGAATCGGTCGCACCATCCACTCTTCTTCTCCATTTCTTCCGGGTGTGCTGGATGCGCGCGTAGGAATGGTGTCGCTTGGTCGAACACTTGGTCCGTGATGAGAGCTGTTCTGCGCTCGAAGTGGTGGGGTGCGCAGCTCTTCTTCGGTCACCGGCGCTGGTATGTCTTCATCATCGGGTAACGACGCCTCCACACTTTCCTCTTCTTCAATGACATCGAACACCCGCGTGTCTCTGCTTTTTGATGCTTTCGAGACAGAATGCTCAGCGAACGTGACGCTTCTTGAAATCACGATTGAGCCATCGTCCGCGTTGAGAAGCCGATACGCCTTTTGGTCCTTCGCATAGCCGAGAAAGAAACATCGCACGCCTGGGTCGTCCAGCTTGTGCCTCTTCTCCTTCGCCACGTGCGCATAGCATTGCGCACCAAACACGCGCATATGCTCGATGCGCGGAACCTTCTTGAACACTATCTCGAAAGGGCTCGAGTTCTTGCTCGATGCATTTGGCAAGACGTTCCGGATGTCTGCCGCTGTCATTAGTGCCTCGCACCAGTAAGACTTGTCCAGACCGCTGTCCTTGAGCATGCAGCGCGTCATTTCCACCAGCGTGCGATTCATACGCTCCGCCATCCCGTTCTGTTCTGGGTTATAGGGGACCGTAAACTCTTGTTTGACGAACTTTCCCTTGCAGAAGTTCTTCATCGTTGCGTTCCGGTATTCGCCGCCGTTGTCACTTCGCAACACCTTTATCTTCGTTCCAGACGCAGTCTTGATATCTTGGTAAAACCGCTTGAACGCACTTGCAACTTCGCTCTTCTTTCGCAACGGATAGACCGTCACGTACCGGCTCTTCATCATGATGAAACTCACGATATACTTGAAACCGGACTTGGACGATGGCGTTATCGGTCCGAGAACGTCAGAACACACCACCACGTCCGAACGCGAACTCTCCCTGGCTTCGTCATCTCTATCATTTGTCTTGAATGACTTGCGCACTTGCTTTGACGTTGCACATACGTCACACACGCTTTTTGGCTTCATCTTTGCGTCCTTGATTCTTCCCTCCTTGACCATGGCATTCAGCGTACCATACGACACGTGACCCAATCTTCTATGCCATAGCTCTGTATCGTCTTCGGCCATGTGGCACTCCGTACCACAGTCAGCATTGAGATACAGGAGGAACCCCTGCTTCCTTCCTGTTGCGACGGGTGTGCCGCCACGCTTGACCACGCACTCGTTGCGCGTTATCTCCACTGTCATGCCGCGCGCTGCCGCAGCCGTGAGCGAAAACAGGTTCTTGGACAAATCTTGAACGTGAAGTGTGTTCTCAAGGCGAGCGTCGATCCACGCATGTCCTGTCCAGACGCGCAGCTTCACTGTCCCATGTCCAATGACATTCAGCTTCACGTCGCTCTTTGCGCTTGAAATGCTTCGCGCATAATGCACTTCCTTGTACTCTTCAAACGCTTCACGATCCTTGCACATGTGTGCCGACGCACCACTGTCCATGACCCAGCAGTTGCTTTCAAACCCTTCACAGGCGTTGAATGCGACGTTCGACTGATCATGTACTTGCTCTCTTGGACCTCGACTTGAGCGACAGTCCCTTGCGTAGTGTCCGACCT